GATAATTTTATATAATCTAATTTGAAATATATATATATATATATATATATATATATATATATATATATATTAGGTCTACTGGAAAATTCTGTCGATTTTTAAAATAAAATAAAATAATAAATTATTCATTTAATTACTTTTGAACTCTTGCCAACATGGTTGCAATTTATATATTCCATTTTAAGAAATGGGGCCTTATCCCTAGTGACGAAAAATTGAACTAGTGTTTGTTTGAACGTACAAAATTTTCCGATAGACCTAATATTAGGTGGTTCGGAAAGTCGTTTCGTTTTTCTTTTGTAAAAATGAAGATAATTTTTACTTCGAGGTTAAATCTAAACCTTTTAAGTGGTCATAAATAGTTGAATTTGATAAATTTAATCTCTCATCGATTTCATATGTTATTATTTGTCGGTTTGCATCAACTAATGCCATTATTGCGTCGTCAGCAACAAACGAAACGACTTTCCGAACAACCTAATATATATTGATTTATTTTCTAAAACAAACAAAAAAGTAAAAAAATGTTGGAATTCATTTTTTTTGGGTCAAGTTTTTTATTAAAAAAAATTATCATTATTCAAATATCATTGAAATGAAATTGAAAGCAGCTTTTAATAAATTAAAAATAAAATTTAATAAATTACATTGTGTGTGCTTCAATATTGCTAGAATATTTTGTCGTTATTAAAATTCCTTTTGAAAATCAAATGAAATCAGTTTAATTTTATATGAAAGAACATTATAGAAAGAAATTTAAATAAATTCATTATAGCTCGTTGAACTTAGCTTTTTATTAACTATTAAATAGTAATATCGATAAGGAATTTGCATAATCGATTTCATTTCAAAATTGTACGGATACGGAAGAAAAAGGAGAAAAAGTGGTAAATTGAGTGAAAATGAAGGAATAAAGAAGCCTGTGTTGTAGTATTACTATTACTATTATATTACTACTACTACCTACTAGTACTACTATCATATTGGCAATAGTTTAATCAGACTGGAACGGAATTATGGTAACGAAGTCGCGCTTCTACGAGTAACCTCGTATACCAAGGAATTATTACGTGCAAATGTAGAAAGAAAAACAGAAAAAATCCATCTTCGTCCTCCATACGTAATAGTAAAGCTCACAACGTGAAGAAAGAAATATTTCTTGTAACGAAGAAACGTATTACCTTCCAAGTAATGATTTACTGTATATTTATTTAACAATTCTTCTCATTGCAGTTTACAACGTTTATACTTTTATTGATATAAATTTTGAGAATGATAATATTAAATATTATTTATATATATAAATTAATTCTAGTACAATATATATCAATTTAAATATTATTATAAAAATATTTAATATGATCAGATGTGATATAAATCATTTAATTAAATTAGCATATTTTTATTATCTTCATTTACTTTTGATAAAAACATATATCTATGATAATGAATATGCTTGTTGCGAAAAAATAAATATAATATTTATCAAAAAACATAAACTAATTGTAAGACAAATTAATGTTCATTTTATTAAATATTTACTCAAAATGAATTATATCAATCTTAAAATTTTCATGAAATAATTAAAAGAAAATTTATACAAATATAAACGTATCATAAATTTTATAATTACAGTTGTTCAAAATAACACAATTAGCATTATAGATCGTAAATAATTTCAAATATAACATGGCAAGTATTTGAAACGTGAAAAATGTTGAACGAATAAAAAAGATTATTTTACCGTTTGATACATTTGACGAGAGTCTTGTTATCGCTATCGTATTTCTAACGAATCGATAAGCTTTTAATTGCAAAACATAATCGAAACTTGTTTAAAATTCGTTCTGGGGAGAGAAAGAGAGAGAGAGAGAGATAAGTTTGGATACTTGCTTTTACCAAAATAGAAATTTTCGAAAGTAAACAACAAATGTAATAGTAACTTAATTTAACGAATGGAACGTTGAAGTAAATAAATTCAATCGAAACGAGTAATGCAAATGATACGCGTTATTTATTCTTCGTTCGTTCGTTCATTTGTACGGGCCCAACCCTGATCGATCTAGCGATACTTTTACGCTCCTTTTCCTGTTCCCAGCGGATTTGAAAGGGCATACGGGCAAGTCACTTCAAAAGAGCATTTTACATTCGAATATACGTTGAAATTCCATTCTCTAGAAGTAAAATGAAATATCTTTTTGACTTTTTATTTCTTTTCTTTACCTTCAATTGTTAAACATCATCTTTTGTCTCAAACGATTTATATAAAAATGTTTCTCAAATTAACAGTCTAGACGTTAGATTATCAAAATCAAACAACGCGAGCATGGTTAGTTAAATGAATGAGTGACCCATTCAGAAAAAAGAAAAACAAAAACCATGTACTGTTGAGTGGTACTAAATAGAGGAGATTTCTTTGATAGTATTGAAGATGTGTGAGAAAGTTATATGCAGAGAAGTTACTAAAATCTGTCAAAGGAAGAATATAAAAAGACACATTTAATTAATTAAATAAATAAATGAAAAAAATCACCAATGCGGTTAAGTTCAATTTGATATTTTCTGATTTTTTATGAATTTTAATAAAATAAAAAAATACTGTATTTTAAATTATTTAAGAATATGTACTTGTTGCTTCGTTTTTTTTTATATTTCTTTCAGTTACCAAAAGATGATAGTTCTAAAATTTTTAAATTTAATTAAGTTTTATTCCAATACATACTTATGTTTTTGTTTGTACATTCTATCTTGTTTGGTTGCAAAGCCTACCATTTTGAAAAAAGACTCTTTATATACATAATATAGTATATAAATAATATTATATCTGCTATTCTAATTAAATTAAATAACCCAAAATTTAAAGAAACTAATCTATTAAATAACATTAATTTTCTCAATTTTAATTTTCTGGACTTAACCAAATTGGCTTCCGAATTAATATAATAAATATGAAAATATAAATATATAATATATAATATAGGAAATATAACAATATAAATATTAAAATTAATATAATTTTGTAATAAATTTTATAAACAAAAAAAGAAATAAAATACAGTTATTCGATTACAATTTACAATTCAATGTGTTACTATGATAGTTAATATTTTTGATATAACTTTTCAATACGAAAAATATGTAAACGTTGTATACGTAATACAATAAATTGTTAGAAAGAGAATCACTTCGTCTGACAGTGAGACGCAATTTTAACGTTAACAATAAATTTTCAGATTAACTCGAATCACACATGATAAAAAAAAAAAAGAAAAATTGTCTTACAATCTGTTGAAAGAAACGTCGCGTCATTTGTGGAAAACGGTTCTCTTATAAACCGTACCGTTCGTCCATTTATGGAGAAGGATATACATATACCATATTTTGATTATTAAATGCGAATGAAATTACACGAAGGAGTTCGATGACGCGTTACTCAAGTTAACATGCTCAAGTGGGTACATTATTCGCCGTTACCGAAAAATCATACTACCGTGACGACGTCGTTGAAGAATGACGAAAAGGATGATAGATCATCGTCTACGAACGAACGGGAAAATGAAAATGTTCATTCTAATATTTTGTCGCGTTCGATGAAATTACAAACGACAAACGAAGAGAATCAATTATCGGAATGCACTGTCAAATATTTAGGGGTAAGAAATTATCATAAAAAAAGATAAAGATTTGATTTAAAAAAAAAATTATTGATAGGTACTTGCTAATGGGGTTTTTCTTTTTAAATTAAATTTTTTTTTTAATTTAAATTTTATATTTTAACGATTTATTTTTTTCTTTTCGTTAAGTTTTTTGTTTTTTTTAATGTAAAGGAATAAGAAATATTTGATAATCTTACTGTGTTTTTTGAGAAATCATTTACAAATGAAATAGAAAAAATAAAAAAATTGGTAAAAGGAAAGGATAATAATTTATTTTAACAAATAAATTATAAAAATAAACATTTATAATAAATAAATAATAAAATAAAATTTATTTTTTTCCTTTTTCATTCATTTTTTAATTAAATACCCCATAATAGTTAATAGAAATATTAAAGAACAATATGCAATATATTTAAAAATAAAAATTTATTATATAAAAAAAAAACAATAAGAAATACTTTAGATACTTTCTTCATTTATTTTGAATTATTTTATATTTATATTATCATATGGGAATTATTAAAATTATAAGCTCTACCACAAATATATATATATATCTGATTTTTTAAGAAATCGTATAATTTTATTAAGCAAAAAAAAAAAATAATATAATTAACGACAAAATATCAGCTTGGATAAAACGAGCTCTCGAAATTAGTCGCGCAACGGTGTAATCGAATAAATGATGGTAAATTGTTAGTCGAGGTACAATGACACGATGTGGCAATTCATAGAAAACAATTTAACTGGAGAAGCTTCGATCACGTATAAAGTTGGGCGTAAGCCAGACGTCACGTTACTGCACATCCTCTTGCATCATACGAGAATTTCAATGTATATGAAGCCTTGTTCTACGTAAATTGCGTTAGAAACGTACGAATAATGTTTTATAGACAATGAATGTTATTATACATAGTGTACAAAAAGTTTGAAAAGTATTAATGACAATGAAATTCAAATAAATGAAAAACAAAGTATATATATACTTATATTTCTAAAAATATTTTATTTAATTACAAAGATTAAATTAAAATTAAATTAAATTTAAATTAAATTAAAAGTAAAAAATTTAATTAAATAGAAATAAAAATATATATTATAAATCGTCATTAATTGCCCTGATAATCCTGTAATTAGTATTTTTGGTTTTTTATAAAACTTACTAACCAAATTTTTTTGTGTTACAAATATATTATCTTACATTATTTGTTAAACTATAATTCATTTCGACTACGTATCTACTACAAATTTATTATATACCTATATGTTATAATAATTATTTTGTGCCTATTTATTAGCGTAACATTTTGTTAATTTTTGCATTGTCATATTTTTTTTTAGGGGTCCGATCCAAGGGTCGCGACATGCAGAGGAAAATTGCAGAATAAACGAAGCAAATTGAATCAGGAGATCAATAAGGAACTTCGATTACGCGCAGGTGCAGAAAATCTTTTCAAGTGAGTTAACGATATTTGAAAAAAAGTAAAAAAATAATTTTTTTTATTTTGATCATAATCATATGATATGATTATTTTATGAAATTTTGTAATACGTTATTACAGGGCAACGACAAATAGAAAACTCAAAGAAACCGTAGCTTTGGAATTGAGCTTTGTTAATTCAAACTTACAACTGCTGAAAGAACAGTTGGCTGAACTTAATAGCTCGGTTGAGCTCTATCAGAATGTCGATGGGTTAGTTTTTCCTATTATTTTTATTCCTATTAATTATATTTGAAAATATTGCATATATATAATAATAACATAAATATTATACATTTGCAGAGAGGATCCTGTAATGCCAATGATACCACTTGGTTTAAAGGAGACCAAGGATATAGATTTTCGTGATCCGTTCAAAGTAAGTATTTAACATAATAATTTTAATTTAATGTTACAACATTAATTCGTATCGGTTATTAAATAATAGTAAATTAAATCAAAGTACTAAGTTTTCTTATAATATATTTTAAATTATAATTATTTATATTAAAATAAGAATTTTTCTTTAATTTTGTTTACTGTCATAACTGACGACAAATGAAATTAATAATCACAGATGAATATTTTCATTATTCGAGCGGAGGTACTTCAGGATTATCAATAAAATTGTTAGACATGACTTTTTCTTTGGATCGATCTTCCGTTAACTTTTTGTTAACTTTTGTCTTCGAATTTAGACATATTTTGGAAAAATCAAGTTCATCGTTTTTAGGTGGCCCAATTTCGAGATATTCTCTCGTAGATGTGAATGGTCGATTCTTTATACTGATGACGGCTTTACCTCCTCCTTTACTCGTAGGTTGTTTATTATTTTTTGCGATATTTGAAGTAAACGTTTGATGTTGTATCATCATCATGGGATTTAAACGAGGCATCGTTATAACCAAACTACCAGTCGTTACATTTCGTTTTGCGTTACTCTTATCGACGAGAATCTCGCATGGTAATGTTAGTTGCAAAATTTTACCCTTTATCGTCACTCTCACGTAAGTTGGTTGAATGTCGACATCGATGTACGAGGTATCGAGGTATCTGCAATTTTGTTTTCAAATAACAAACTTATCTTGCAATTATTATAATCATTTTAATATACGTTTGCTATATTACGATTTAGTTGAAAAATTCGCTGTTTCTTGCATATCGTTAAATACAACGGCGGATATTTTTTTTTTAATGTTTTTAACATGAATGAATAACAAATACTTATGAAACTTTATGATATGTATATCTACAATTTATTTGAAATTTTTACGTTTCATATCGAATTATTAATCTATGGGATACGAGACTATGTATACGGAATTTCACAGATGATCTATTTTCATGTTTTAATATAAATATTGTTGATTCTAAGCAAATATATTTTACAAAGTTATCATATTGTAAATAATATTGATGTTGGAGTTATTCTTATCTTATCTACAAATATTGAAGAAACTATTGAACTCATACGTATTCTTTTTTTTTTTTTTAAATAGAACGTATTATGTTTTTACTACTGAAATGAAGCGTTGTTATTAGCTTCTTGGAATAGCAGTTAAATAACATTTATGTTTTTTTTATTCAATAGTTTTATTTTTTATTGAACATTTAATGGGTAGTACGGATTTTATATTTTAATAGGAACAACGAAAAAAATTTTGTACTTATTAGAAATTGTTACGAAAAGGAACAGTCGACTTGAACATGTTTATACACATGTGTGTATATATCTGTTTTATAGATCTGTTTTAAACAGCTGAATAAATTGATTTAAAATTTATACAGCGTAAATAAGAGTAATAGTCACTTAGATCTACGAATAATTTTGATTTAATCCGATTATGAATTTTAAAAATAATAAGAATTGCAAAAGTTCAAAAATTTAATTAAAATCATATACGCGTGATAAAAAAAAAGTATTTCAACTTTTCAGAAATACTTAAAGCAGTATATTAAACTATATCGGTCCTACTTATAACAAAAAAGAAATTTTGTTTACCTGTAAACTCCAACATCTAGGATCACGTTATTTGGATCATCTTCGTCGTTCAATGTAAATGGTACTTTTGGATGATTCATGTTGTAAGGCTTGCCACTTGGGCTGAACAATTTTGGCACAAATTTATGTGCTTTTGTTTTTTCGTTTTCCAAATGTTCATGTTTCTTTTTTTCCGATTTTAACGAATGCTCTGCAATCGCAACTCGATCTTCTGGTGTGTGATAACTCGTTTGTTTCCAAAATTTTTCATTTTCCATTTCTTCCTCTTCCTTCAGTGATTAATTTAAAATTTTACAAAAAAATAATTAAAGATCAACTATAACAAAAAAATAGTAACTATTTGCATTTGGGAGGGATCGTTAATAATTCAAATATAGAAATACTTCGAAGATGTTAATTTAAAACTTTTTAAACATATCGTACTATGGTATATCACAAATGAAACATTGTATTACGATTTTAAGCATGCAAACAGTTAAAAAAGTAAAATTGCAAGATTCATCGTCAAGTAAAATCAACATAGTATAAAAGTTTAGTTAAATTCTTATTACAAATTGTCATCTTATGTTTGTTTTCTCTTATCGTAATGATAAATAATTGTTATTCATAATTGTCCAATTATTGAAAGTAGATATAAAAATAATTTTCTAATAAAAAAGTGTTAAAACTTACGTCTTCCTTTATTTCCTTAATTTTAATTTCTTCTTTTTCACGATGTCGTCTTATTTGAGCATCTCTTATCTTTTTGTAATTCTCATAACCTCTGATAATGTCTCCCTTTACTTTAGCGTATACTTGCAAAGCTTTTATTCGTTCTGATCTTAAAATTTCAACCATGTCAAGTTCTTTCAATTGAGGTAACGTTGAAATGACATATTCCCTGTATCCTTCGTAATCCGTACACGGATTTCCTGTCAGCATCAGCTGTTCCAAATTCTCGTTATATCTGGGACACCATAAACATTTCGTCTTTTTGAATATTTCCTAAAGTATTTCAATCGAAGATAATAAATACATTACTTTTTTTTTCATTAATATTCTCATCTTTTCGTTCATATTAAAAATAAATTGAATACCTTAAAGTTTTGACACTTCTTAAGTCTCCTATAAAATTTATAGTAAGATCCAACTTCTTCAAACTTTCTAAACCCTGTAAGTTCTCGATAACTTCGATATTGTTCAATGCAAGATTTAAATATTCCAATCTTTTCAACATATTGAGATTCTCGATTTTCGGTATAATGTTGTATTGAAGAAGTAAAATTTTTAAGTTTCTGCAAACTTTATTTATTAGCTCGATTTTATCGATGTTTTCCTGATGCAACGATATTTCTTCCAGAGTTGATATCTCTCCCTCGTTATGCTCTGAACGTTTACGTAACAATTCCATAGTGATTCGTACCATTTTGTAAAATATTATATTTCTTTTCTGTAGTTTTATAAAGAAAAAAACATAACTTTTTCGTAAAACGTTAGTGAAACACTACTGTTATCACACTTTGTTTTGGTTGCTATGTAAATATCGATTTAATAAAATCCTACTACCGATTGGTCGTCTTTTAATCAATTTAAATTCTTATTAACATTTTTATACACTTGAAACATTATTTAATATGAATTTATGTTTTAGGATTTTATCTTAGAACACTATAGCGAAGATGGGGAGAATTATGAGGAAGCTATTGCTGAACTTATGGAGATTAGACAGGTAAGAGAAAAAAAATACAAAAACCTGTTTAAATATATTTATGATATGTATATATATACAAACTTACTAGATGTTACGTCGTACCCCTGTACGTACGCCCCCCTGGGCGGATTGTGATTCGGATCATTTTTTGGTTATTGCTAGGATGAGGGAACGGCTTTCCGTAAATAAGAATAATGGACAGCGGATAGGAAATAAACGGATAAACGTAGAAAAGATTAGCAAGGGAAAAAACGGAATAAAGTACGCGGCCGAAGTAACGAAAAGACTCGCGTCGGCAAAGAAAATTGACGAAGCAGACGAGAATACGGATAAAAAATGGAAAAATATACGCGACGCGATGGTCAAATCGGCGGAAGCTATCGTTGGTTTTTGCAAAAGGCACAAAAACAAACCATGGTTCGACGAAAAATGCGAGTTAGCTGTCAAAGTCCGAAACGAAGCGCGTATCTCGTGGCTGACCCAAAACACGGATCTAACTCGGGACCAATTTCACAATATTAGCCAAGCGACTCAAAATTTAATTAAGAACAAGAAGCGACAATTTTTAAAACAAAAAGTTGAGGAAATTGATGAAAATTGCCAAAGCAGTAACGTCCGTGGTATGTACGCGGAGATTAATAGACTCAGAAAGGAATTCCAAGCTAGGACGGATCTAGTGAAAGATGCAAACAACAATTTAGTTTCGGATACAACGGGGATATTGAACACGTGGAAAAATTATTTCGATCGGTTATTAAATGTAGAATCTGAGAACAACCGGGAAACTGAGAATTTCGAGTTCCATATGGCGGAACCTATGGTTAGTGAACCAACGATGTTGGAAGTAAAAAGCGCGATTAAAAAACTAAAAAATCATAAATCACCGGGTAACGACTCGATTCCTGCAGAGCTAATAAAATGGGGGGGGGGAATAGATTGTTCGATGAAATTTTTGAGCTAATCAAATTAATATGGAGCAAGGAAACATTGCCGGAACAATGGAAAGAGTCGAATATAATCCCAATCTTTAAAAAGGGAGACAAAATGGATTGTAATAATTACCGGGGTAATTCACTTTTACCGACGTGTTACAAAATACTATCAAACATCTTGCTAGCTAGGATAGTACCGTATGCGGACGAGATAATAAGAGATCACCAGTGCGGTTTTAGGAGAAATAGATCGACTACAGACCAAATTTTTGCTACTCGGCAGATCTTAGAGAAAAAATGGAAATTTAATCAGCCGGTACATCAACTTTATATARATTTTCAAAAAGMGTACGACTCGGTAAAACGAGAAAAAGTGCTCGAAATCCTAATACGACAGGGGATACCAAGAAAATTGGTCAACCTTGTTCAACTTTGCCTAAAGGAAACTAGAGGTAAAGTGAGGTTAGGTAACCAAATGTCGGAAGATTTTAATATCCATAGCGGGTTAAAACAGGGGGACGCATTGTTACTCCTTTCGTTCAATTTAGTACTAGAATTCGCTGTCAAAGAACTGTAAAAAAGTAAAGATGGTTTACAGCTGAACGGGACAACACAATTATTAACATTCGCGGACGATATTGCTTTGTTAGGGGACAATGAAGAGTCATTAATTAATAACGCAAAAATATTAATAGATAATACTAAAGATCTGGGACTACAAATAAGCGTGGAAAAAACCAAATATATGATAACCGATAGAGTTCAGAATAGGCCTAGTACTGGAACTTTGGTTGTCCGGGAAAAAACTTTTGAGCGGGTCAGCAACTTTAGGTATTTAGAATCGATCATAAACCAGATGAACGAAATTAACGAAGAACTTAAGAAAAGAATCAATCTAGGCAACTCATGTTTTTATTCGGTTAACAAATTACTCAACTCGCGGTTGCTGTCTAGGCAATTAAAAAAATCAGGATATACAGAACAATCATCCTGCCGGTAGTCCTTTATGGTAGCGAATCGTGGTCGCTTACGTTACGGGACGAAAAGAAATTCAGGGTTTTCGAAAACGCGATGAGGAAACGGGCGAATGGAGAAAACTCCATAACGTTGAAGTATATCGATTGTACAACAAACTGGACATTATCAACGTCGTAAAATCACGCCGATTAAGATGGCGTGGTCACGTGGCGCGCATGGGGGAGGACCGAACGGCGTACAAAATATTGGTCGATATACCAAACGGGAAAAGATCACTAGGTAGACCGAGATGTAGATGGGAGGATAATATTAGAAGGGACCTGAAAGAAATAGGATACGAAGATCGCGAATGGAAGGATCGCGCTCAGGGACGGGAACAATGGCGGGATTTGGTATTTGCGGCAATGAACTTTCCAGTTCCTAATGCCAGTTAATAATAATAATATATATACAAAATTGTATAATATTTCTAGAAAATTTATCTATTACATATACATAGAATTAAGACATTTATCATGTATTAGAAATACAAAAATGAAATATAAGAAAATTATTTGTGATATATTAATACATTTCAACGTTAAATTTATTTAGGCAACGAGAACACCTACAAGAGACGCAACAGGTATAGCATTGCTTTTGCGTTACTATAATCAACTTTATTTCATCGAAAGACGATTCTTTCCACCTGAAAGAAGTCTTGGCATACATTTCGAATGGTTCGATTCTTTAACTGGTGTACCAAGTCGTCAACGCACTGTTGCCTTTGAAAAAGCATCCATTTTATTCAATGCTGGTGCACTTTACACACAATTGGCTGCTAAACAAGACAGACATTCTACTCGAGGCTTGGATCAAGCTGTTGATGCTTTTCTTAGAGCAGCTGGAACTTTTCGTTATATTCACGAAAATTTTACCAATGCACCTAGCATGGATCTTGGACCTGATATGCTTGAAATGCTCGTTCAATTGATGCTGGTACGTTTATTGTTATTATTATTTTTTATAAATCTTAAACAAGATTTGTATTATAATTATATTATAACTCTTTTTAGGAATGTAAAAATATTTTGACAAGATGTAAAATTGTTTTGTTATTCGTTAATATTCGATATATATTTGTATTTCAGGCACAAGCGAGAGAATGTTTGTTCGAAAAATTGGAACTTCAATCTAGAGAAGGAAGAACGATCGACATTTCTTTGGACTTAGCTCAAGAAGCTGCACAAGTAAATGTTAACAATAATGTTTAATGAATGAAGTAATAATTAACTAAAAATTTATATGTATATATATTTCTGTTAAATGTTTAAGGTTGCTACTGTTTACAATGACGTTCATGGTCTGATATCTCGTGAACCAGTTCGCGATTATGTCCCAGAAACTTGGATCTCTTTGATATTGGTTAAACGCGAACATCATTTGGCACTTGCTCACAAACATCTTGCAGCTGGTTTGCTCGATAGACCTATCGCTGATTTTCGAGTTGAGACGAAGCTCACGCTCGAACATATTCAAAAAAGTGATGGGAAAACGCAATTGGAAGTAACCGTGCCTAGAGATGACAATGAAAGAAAACTTTTAGGTATGTTAATTATACGTTATTATTTTTTTCTAAGAATAAATGACAATTTTTGAATGTTTTACAAATAATGCCGGTTATATCCGGCATCTGCAAAATGTCTAGCACTGGCTAGTGTTCTCGATTTTCAAGATTGTAATTCCTAGCTCTAAATTTTGCGAATCACTTTCCAAGAATACTTTTAATCAAATTATCATTTCAGTAAACAGATGTTTAATAATATTTTATTATTTTTTTTCTCTAAACAGGGAAAGCACATTTAAGGGAAGCTTTGGTTTTGCACGAGGAAAGCCAACGGCTACAAAGAATGTGCAGAGAATTGAAAGGAAAACAAGCGCTGGCTAAAGTCTTGAAAAAAGGACATGAAGCTACGCATGATATGTATAATAAAATTGGAGATGAAGATGATTTTCGGGAACTATTAGATCCCCCAGATATCATTGGTAAATATAATATATCATTATTATACTTATTTGTTCTATAAAAATAGTATTATAATAGTATGTAAATAATGTAATGACAATATTCAATTTAGCATCGACAAAGTTTCAATTGAGCATCACTCATCCGGATTTTGGTCAACACGGGGTGGAAGATTTGTTTAGATCATTGGGACCTGTTGCTATATTTTCAGCGAAAAGGCATTGGACTGCACCAAGGAATGTTCAACTTCAAAGAGGACCCGATGGTGAAGGTTTTGGATTTAGTGTTCGTGGTGATTCTCCAGTAATTATAGCTGCTGTTGATCATAATTCTTTAGCAGAAGTAAGTAACATTTGCTACATTACTACACTAAAATTTAACTTTTTAGTCTTCATCTTCAAAACTTCATTATAATTCTTTTTTTTTTATCAGATCGCTGGTATGAAGGAAGGTGACTTTATAGTTGGTATTGGTGACAAGGACGTCAAATGGGCTTCTCATGAACAAGCTGTAAAATTGATAAAACAATGTGGTGACTTTATTAATCTAAGATTGGTCACACCTATGGACAGAAATTACATGAAGGTAAGTAAGGTATTTTTTGTTTTGGACTGTACTGTATAATATTTGGTTTTCCAGAAGAAAATGAATCTTTCATAAACCTTAACACATTGTACGCCGGCGACCTAAGAGACATTTAAAGCCTGAGCGCCATCGTGGGGCAGCTACTCAAGCGACAAACTTAGAAACCCGCGGTTTCGCGGGGCCGGCGTACAATGTGTTAAGAAAATACAATTAAATCAAACTTATTATTACTTGATAGTATACCTAACATAATGAAAATATAATTATTGATTTAATATTTTAATTTAATCTTAACCAAGTTATCAACATTGGTGTCATCCGCGATGATGATTATTTCTTTAACTGATATATAAATTTGTAGTAACATAATTATTTTAGAAACCCGGAAAACCGAATCAACATGATAAAGGAAGCGTTTCGGCGAGCAGTTCTTCAGGAGTGTCTTCTGGTCAACCTAGTCCAGCTGGCTCGGTTACAACAGCTCATGTTACAAGAAGACTACCTTGGAATCCTTTCAAGAAGTCGGTCAATCAACGTGACAGCAGGGATCTTACCTTTGACAACGTCATCTTGAGATGATTGTTGAGGAACAAGAAATTCCCTGTAAAGGTACGTCGGACGACACAACTTTTCGTTGCTTGTCTCGCATCCGATATTAAATTACCATCGTGTAAAATGCAAAGAGAATGATTAATCAGGTATACGTAGATTAGATCGGATCGTATCTTTATAGAAATGTATATATCTATATATATATATTTATACAATTATTTGTATGTATACATATATAACATATCTTTATCATCCATTTTTTTTTGTCTTTACATTACGAACTTTCGCATTTTTCTAAACGTGTTTTCATTACTTACTCGATGTATTTGTAGATATTATAATTATCATTTCGAGTTAAGTCAAAGAATTAACACGTTAGCAAAATGTGAACGTGATACGATCATCATATTCGTTTAAAAGTGTCGAAAATCTGTCAGTTTTTTTTAATCGATCATACGTATCGTTTTTAAGCGTTTACAGTAAATATTTATGTATATTAAATCGTAATTATAATCTCATGTATAGATATATCTATTATGAAGATAATAGGTATATATACCCTATATACAGGGTGTCTCGAAAGTCGTCTCACAGAACTGAAGAATATTACAATTTAATATCTATTAAAATTTACGTGTTTCGCGGTGTTTTCGTTTTGCAGGTTTGCGTTAGGATTATGTCATAATTATTTTCTTGTTAAAACGACTTTTGTGTAACACCTTGTAAGATCACGCCAATGTTCGTCATTTCACGCAATCGTAGATTTAATATATACTTAACATTACCTTTTCTCATTTGTCCAATGATTACAATTAATTAATTGTATCTACGATACAATTCAACGATAATGTACATAAAAAAAGAAAAAAGAGAAAGAGAGAGAGAGAGAGAGGAAGAGAATAATGTTATGTAATTCAACGTGTTTCCATGATTATTCTATCTCTTAAGTTAGAAATATCATTGTTCACGTAGAGAGACAGTCGTAATGAGCAAACACCGTATTAAAAAACATAATATTTGAATTATCATTGGATCGTAGAATCCCCATATTTTTATAAATTTTCTATTTGTGCTTTCTTACGAACTGTAATAACTGAATAAAAATATCTTTGATTATAACGAATGTACATATAAGCTATTCCTTATCCTCTTTATAAATATATATTTATTTAATTATAATTAATCATAATAAAAATGAACAATAGTGGACATTTAATCCAATTCGTCGAGGCAAGATTTTTTTTCTTTTCTTACAATTATACCAGATACATTGGTCCTATGACCCAAGGGCGCCCTCTGTGAAGGAAACGACCATGATTTCGTAGCCTTGCAGGTGAAGATTTTCGGCCTATAAAGAAGTATGTATGTCCCACAAAAACACGGTACTTGAAGAACACGGATACCTTCCCCTAAATTACACAGTTTCAAACAACATGATTTTAAAGAAATTCTATTGAAAAAGAATCAAATATAAATTAGTATAAATAAATAATATGAATTTAAGAGAAGATGTTGTATCAAAATTATTGAAACATTCATTTTTGAATCATGTAATACTAGATTTCTCAGAAGTGCTTATCGATATGAATTCAAACAATAAACATTTTTAGTTTTATATTTAACAAAACAAAAAATATTAAAACGTAAGGTTTTTTTTTATTGTCACGCTTAAAACAGATTCCAGATTTCTGTAATCTTGAACAACATGATTTTACTCACGTTTTTTGGGGGTCATTTGTAAATATCTTTATCTTTTTTATTCCAACTTCCTTGATGACTTTCTTCTGATTTTCGAAACCTACGGGTACATCAAGTATTGTATTGTTCCTTATTATATACTATATCTGGGTTAAAACCTGCACACGATTTGTGGACACCTTCTATGGTCAGGTTGAATACTAATTACTACACATGAACGTACTAAAGTCAATCATGCATTTCAAATAGAAAAGATACGTGTCCAGTAACATAAAAAAATGATTAAATACTTAACTGAAATAAGTAAATACGTAATGAGTTACGAAATAGAATGAGTTCTATATTCACGATTAGATAAACTATTATTCGGATTACCGATATTCAGATACTGTATAAATAATACTTAACTAAAAATACTTGAATAAAAATACAGTTGACACTTTATTTTCATCGTTGTTAGGGTTTTATAGTGTTGTATGCATGATGTATACGTTTATTTGTGAGATAAGATTGCATAAAGATTGCATAAAAAAAAACACGTGACGAGGGAAATAAAATAATCAAATCGGCACATTGTTGTTCGAAGAAGCATTCGATCAGGTAAAAGCAAACAAACGGTTCCGAATGGTTTTTCTTTGTTGTGTAATTTTTGGCGGAAAGAAGATTGGGGTCAAAGAATTTTTTAAATTATGCAACTCTTGAATTATGTAAACTAATTTGTTTTTTAAATTAAAAAGAAAGAAAAAAATGACAAACAAAAAATTTATAACACGAGAAAAAGAGAAAAATGATTTATGTTATATACATATATATATATATATATATGCACATATTATACATAAAAACATATATACTATTTATTAATAGTAAGTTTAATATATATATATAAAATGTGCATATGCATATATGTATTAAAGGAACTGAAGGAGAAATTGTATCTTAAGTGTAACACGTAAGAAATTCGACACGTCCTTTGCTCATTCGAGACCTTATCGTGATAAAAAGAATAAAACTGAACGGAAAGAAAGAGAAAGAGAGAAAAAAAATCCACGAAAGACATTGGTAGTTGAAACGACAGTTTTCGAGGGCAATGTACTTTCGTTTCAGCGAACACCAAAGAAGGCTTTTTAGGGTCAATGGAGAAAGTCTAGCAGCTGTTATGTTGCACCAGCACACACCACCATCGCTCCAATTCAGTACACTTGAATGCTCTTGGATGTAGTCACGTGCTATGTTTCATCCTCCTTCTCTCTTATTAAAGAAAGAGAAAGAAAGAAAATAATAGGACCTATCCAAAAAAAAAATGGAATTATAGAATACAGTTAGAGTTTTATATAGGTTACATCAAAAATAGGAAAAATTTGGGATCGATTACGTAATTAATATATTATTGAAATTCAAAGAGTTGATATACAAGATGATCCCTTGGGAACTGAAGTAAATTGTTTGTATTTTTTGTTTTTTAATAAAAATAGATAAAAATACTAAAGAGGAAATAATCATATGGCATAATACGTTCTAACTTCTTATGACCTTATTTTGTTATGTGTGTGAATACACCGATACATCAGCCAAATGTATAATTGTAATTTATTTCTTAATGCTAACTTATTTTTTTAAATCTTTAACAGATTAAAATCTTGTCATAGAATTGATTAATTGACAAGTATATATAAAACTTTATGTAATATGTAAAAAAACTTTTTCATTTTATAGAATGCAGATAGATAATAAATAAATAGATATATACAGTAAAATCTGTTTTTATGCGGTAGATAGGAACCGCATAAAAAAATCGCATAAAAAATAACTGCCCAAAAACAAGTTTTACTGTATATATATATAGGTATAGAGAAGTATCAGTATTGAATGTATAAATAGCGAGATAACAGTTACGCTCTATTACCGCAGTAAATCAAATTTGTGTCCTTTTAACATTTACGTTTTTTTTTTTATATATTTTTTCTTTTTTTTTTAATGTCTGTATATTTGTATCTCTTTATTTTCATCTCTCTCTCTCTCTCTCTCTTTTTTTCACGTTTCGTTCTGATTGTGTATGTACTACTATCCTAACTAATTAACAATTTTCTAAAATTATTAAATCAATTTTATTCTATTGCATTCTACTTTTATTATTATTATTATTATTATTATTATTATTATTATTATTATTATTATTAATGTTATTATTTGTAATTGTTTATTTACTTATTGTTATATTTATTACCCTTTAATTTTTTGAAACATAATTTTTCCAGATAAATAGATATATTTATTCATTAACAGCATGTTGGTTCGGTATATTGTATTGATGACTAGAAAAAAAAAGTGGTAAACATAACCAAGCCTCCTAAGGCGATATTTTTAAATCTTTCTAGTAAAAGTTGAATATTTGAATATATGTATATCCTCTAAGCGGTATTTTAATGACGACATTGACATCATTTTTGTATTCACATAGAAAAAATATTAGTAGAAAGAAAATCAATTAATTTTGATTTCTATAGTATGCATAAGTTCGAAAATTATTCACAAAATTTCACATTTCTCTTGATGGTTTCTAATTTTATAGCTTACATTGATTGATGTTTTCATATTTTTTTTATGCAAATAATCTCATTAAAATTTTTATTTACGTTCAATAAAAAAAGAACATAAATATTTTATGGTATAAGTATTATAAGTACTTAATTAATATACCACATAAGTAATAATTTATCATTTTTAAAATTATTTTATTGAAATATTTTATATCTTTTATTTAAACAGGAACATTAATAATGAAAATATAAAATTATTTAACAATGTAGAATATCGTCATTAACATTTATTAGTTAAATATTTAGAAATAACATAGGACTACGTCAACAGTAATCAGTTGTTGAATTTGAAATGATGTAGGACTACGTGATCAATTTCAAATGAATTGAGTCTATAGTATGACTAATTTTGAAGATGAAAGTGTTCTAACTTTGGATTAACTAAAATTGACACACAGAAAGGAGACGGCCCTGTCAACTTTCGCTGATTTACAATTAGTATTACGTATCACGCACAATTGATTATTCAATCAATTTCTTTTTACTATTACGATAATATCTAGTAAATTCTATTTACTATTACGATATATAGATTTAAATATTCATTATTGAATCGTCCCTTTATAGAAATATAATTAGAATAAAACATTTCAATGATTTACTAAATTAAATACCTTATCGTAAAAACATATATTATATTAATTAAATTTTTTTATCAGTTTCTACATTAATATTTAAAATTTTTCAAAATTCTAATAAAATGTTTACGAGAACTTTGGAATACTTTAAATAGAATGTTAATTTATTTAAATTAATAAAATTTGCATTTGCAAGATTTTTAAATAAAATTTTGTCTACTCTTTAACATAATTAAAAGTCAGTATCTCTTTTTATATTTGTCAAAAGTATAAATATCAATTTTGAAAATAATGTCGAGAATTTGTTGTTCTAGTTAAAAATAAACATGGCTATTTTGAAATTATTTTTTATAACCGATAAGTAATTACATTGAAAAAGAAGAAATACTTCGAAAGAGAATATTCGAATTGAAATTTGATTGAAAATTAATATTTTTCGATATGAACGCAAAACTTGGCGATAATCATGATAGTTCTCGTTTGAAGGAAATCTAGTTTTTCCTCGCCATTTTAGTTCTAGCTGTGTAGCTAGGACCTTTCACCGTATGCCGAGAAATACTATTTTATGAGATACTAGAAACGGTACAAGGGAAATTCTTTATTCGTTCGTAAAAGAACATTCAAACAACATTATCGTTAATGTTTTTATTTATTAAATAACAAAAAAAGAACAATATATATACTGCATTTGTGTGTATATGTTTACAAATTTTCCCCTATCAAGGAATAAACTATTAATACGTTTATTTTTTTTTTTAAATAAAACAAAAAATGTGGTATTTTGTGGAGAATCAAATTTGAATATAAATTATCTATACGTTATTATATTATTGAAAAAAATTCGACAAGTTGTTTACGATTTTTCGTCTCTTCTTTCGATGAACGTGTGCATTAGTAATTATATAGTTATTTAAATATTATTTTACAAATGAATACATGAAATTTTAATATTGTGGACCTTATTAACGTTTTATTAAGGGGACACGTCAACAAAAAAATCGATTTTTTTTTCGATTTTCTGAAAGAATATTATTTCAAAAATATTTCTTCAAATTTTGGTAAAGATCCGCGCATTATTTACGAAACTGTAGTAGTTTAAACGGAGCGCGCCGTAGTGCTCCAAGTAAGTTACAAAACTTTAAACGTTAATTTCTCCTATTCGCGTTTTTAAAACGGTTGCCCTCGCTGCGTCCAGACCATTTATCCGATCCTTACCAAATTTTGTACAGCAATACTAGATCCACGTATCAAGGGAATGAACGAAAGGATTTTTTGAAAAAATGCTAATTTTTTTTCTCCAAAACTTTGCGATTTTTCTGCAAAAATGTCAATTTTTTCGCAAAAAGTCGACTATTTTGAGAAAAATTAAAAAATTAAAATTTCCTTTCGTTCATTCCCTGCGCCAACATCTCTAGTAAAGGATAACACTCGGTTTTTTTGTTTCTGATGAACCAATTTTTGCCAGTGAGGGCAACCGAAAATCACCTTTTTTTTTTGACTCTTAGAAAAGTGGCCACAGACAACACAATTTACAATATTCTTACAGACAAAAAATTATGAGTATAGTTCAGACTTACATATACCAAAAATTTGTATTGATATTAATAAAACTGGCTGCACAAAAAATTCACAAAAAAACCGCTTTTTTTTACACTCGAAGGTGACGTGTCCCCTTAAGTATTCAAAATGTTCATATATATATATAAATTCGTGTGTAGAACTTTAAAACAACAACAGGTTTTCTGGCAAACCTTACAGAAAATTATTTTGTTGTCTTTGTTTCTTAGACATAAATTAAGTAACAGTTTGAAAATGTATACAGTTAAATATGTCCTCTAGAAAAAAAAACCTAATCTTATAGAAGCGTGAAAACTAGTAAGTATTTCATAAATTTTTATTCGACAGTTTCAAATTATTTTATTTGATTTTATCGTTAAAGAAATAAATTTATACGATTAAAGTAAATATACATAATATTTTTTATATATGTATAATGAGATTTTTTTAAAACTAGTTACTGCGGGGTTTACCCAGTGTTAGCGTAAAATGTGTGATCGTAAATTATTTACGCGTTTCGAGAAAATGAATAAAAATAATCAAATAAAAAATGGCCTTGATATTCGTCGAACCGTACAAAAGTTCGTTCGTGGAGAAAGCAAAATGAAAGATTACGAGAAGAAAGTGAATCTTTCTGCGCGAGAATGGCTTCGTGATATTTCGTAAGTAATACAAAATGATATTTGTAATGATATTTTATATGATATAGATATTTGCAAGTGATACAAAAGTTTTTCCTCTATTTTCCATTTTTTCTTCGTATCTTTCCATTTTTTTTTTTTTTTGTATAAATTCGAACGAGACGATTGTCAAGCATAAAATCAAAAACTGCAAGATTTCATTATTATTTGGTTTCAAACGAAGCATGACAAAAGTTTCTAATAATAACTTTAGTATAGTTTATTCAATGAGCTTTTTCTTTTCTTTATTCTTTTACCATGTACAGTAGGATCACGATTAATCGAATCTTTGATTTATAAAATAGTGTACATTAAAACATATTTATATACAATTATACACGTGTTGTTTTTTTTACAAATGTTATCAATTTCGTTCTAAAAATATAGCAATGCTATATTTACTATATTTTTGCTATATTTTTTATAAGGCTATATTTTTTTTATATTTATAATATTAAAATAATTTCTGATTATATAACTTCTTTCATATGATTAAAAACTTTATCGTAATAAGATATTCCTGTTTATCTATGTCATGTGACACGTCTAGTTAATTACTAGATGTTGTAGTTTAATGTTTTTATTTTTTTTATTTTCTACTTGTTAATAAGTACTATCGAGTTGAATCTATATATATTCGTGTTATTCAAATTTTTACTTATATTTTTTATTCATTCTTTTTTTCGACATTTTTGTATTAGTATTACATCAGGAAAATATCTAAGGTTATAAATATATTGTAATAAAAAAAATATTGCAATAGGACAAAAAGTTATAGTTCCGATATAAATAACACAAAGTTGAAATTTTAGGAAGAATAGATTAAGGTAACGCCGTAAATTTAATCACTGTTAATTTTAGTGTAAGATCTAATTTACAATAATGGAATTGCAGAAAATACTATAAAAAACAAATCAATAAATAATAAATAAATTGTAATTTTTAATTGGGCTTAATAATATTTAGAATGACGTCCTACTATAAGAAAATAAGATATAATAGGATGAAAAAAACATTTATAAGTGCAAAATAAATTAAATAGAAAAAAAAATATAATTAGATAATAACAGATGGATACTTTAATTTGCATAAGCACCTAGAAAATGTTTAAAAAACTTCATTTAATACTTATATCCTTATTGAATTTGCATTGTCACCCTATTTCTTAAAAGTCCTATGGAGATTTACATAAAATTTAATAGATCAAATATTAACGTAAAAACATTATGATTACGTAAGAGATAAATATATACTAGAAGGATTATTATTTTTTATACCAACTAATATTATAATAAATTTTAATTGAATATGATTGCGTCATGATATGTTTTTTTTTTCATAGATAATTTATATAAATATAGTAATTAGGAAAAATAATATGTTTTTATAATTATAATCTTATATGTTAATAATTAATAGAATTGAAATAAAAGGCAAATGTGACATTACGGCAAACGTACAAGGTATGTATGACGTACCTCCACAGCTTGTTCCAATTAAATTCTACTTTTTTTTATTAGGGGATAAATGCTTTTTTTAATATGGTGCCGGTGTTATCCATTCTTTCCCTTATCTTTAGGAAAGGGGTTGATTGTAGTTTTCTTGGTAACGTATTGAGCTATCGGATTTTGGGAGGGTAGCAAAGATTTTAGTTGCAAATTTTGAGCTTGAGTACTTACATCAGATATTTAAGAGTAGTTCCATGGTTTTACTAGTTGTTCTGTTGATTAGACTAGTAGGGAATACTCCTACTGTTATCCCGAGAGCACTATTGTACAATACGCCGAATTTCTTTAACTTGTTAGTGCTTGAAAAGTTGCAAACATTAATCTGTATTCGTTCTTAAGTTAATAGTAGGATTTTGCGATCTGTATCTCAGTTATAGTTTTCAGTATATTGAACTGTTAATTGCAATCTTCAGTTAACTTATTTATAAGGGGGTCTCAACGACAGCAAATTATTATTAACATCAAAAGGGTTGATGTTAGTATTTATTTTAATAAAACATTTTTTATTTGTCTCTATGAGTATTATAAGCCCTACAAATATCGAACTCTTTTTTTTTGTCATCCTGTATGTATACGTTCACATTGAAGTATATAATTCAGTTAATTCGTCAAAACCCTAGGTCTTATACAAAATAATTGAAAGCATTTTAAAGTGAAAGTATATAAAAAAGAAAAAGAATTTTATGATACATTTTAAACTAGTGTTGATCTTAGAAAATAATTAGATTAAATATGGATTAACAAGAGACGAGTAGTTGAGGTATGAGATTGAAACTTTGCTCATCATTATAATTTGCTTTTATTTCTAGAACAATACTCATTGTTATTCGTTCTTATCTCCTCTTATATTTGTATACAATTTGCTTGTTTCGTTGATTAGTAGAACGTTTCAAAATTTGTTCGAATTTATGTTTCGAATTATAAAAGAAAAGTAAAATAAAGAATATATAATATAATGTATATAGATGAAAATCCTGAAGAACGTCATGTGTAGTGGTTAGCTTGTGGAGTCGTAGATCCCTCCTTAAATTGATCTGCCGAGTAAGTAAGCAGGTTACTTCGGTTTTAGTGACTCAACGGTCAACACCTCTCTCTTCGTCGATTCAAAAGAACGAACGAACGACTGCAGTCTTCCTGCTTTTCTCTTGAGATAGTTACACGTACGATTATTTTATTTCTTACGTATGTATATGTTTTGTTTCTCTTTTTTTTTTTTTTAATATATTTATCAGAAAATTTGTAAACACTAAAAAGTCTAATTTTTTGTTTTTAATTAATCATTCAAAAATATGAATATATATATATATATAACTATATATGCAATAAAAAGAAAGTGAAAAAAAATCAAAATTAAAAATAATATTGAAGAAAAAAAGTGAAAGAAGTGATTAGGAAAAGAGTTTCAAACGATTGCTATATTAAAATTATTTAATTCATTAAAATATTTGAATTATTATCTTACGTGCTTCAATAACATAGCGAAATTCAAGACAGAGAAACTTCCTCGGTTGTTTGGAATTTTTTTATCATTTTAAAAGATCGAGTAAGTATGAATTGGATTATATTGACTTAAAAGTATCTTCGAGACTTAATAGTTTTTATATTGAATTTCTTTTGCACGTGAAATCCTTACGAGAATACTTAATGCTAATTAACACACAATATCATACCCTCTTTCGAATTTCAATTTTACATACACATTTCTTAGATATTCTAATTATATTAGAAACATGCTCTTAATTGTCGTATTGTAAAGTATCTAATACCGGTTATTTCGTATTTTTATTTTATAATAAATTTACGTAATTGCCTCGTTTAAAAAAATTTATTAACATAATACAATTTTTATATCGAATTTGAAATTCAAATAAATACAAAAATTATTTGTCTTCCTAAATCTCTAATTATTTCTAACAATTTTTAGTAACACTATTATTTTAATTATAATTTTTCAAAAAAATTATTTTCGGATCAACATTAAAATATCTTGTTTAAGAATTAAATTAAAATAAAGATTAAAAATATGTATCAAAGGGTTTATTAATAATTCGTACACATTTCTAAATTCGAATAATATTCTTTGTTCGCTTTCTATGAAAGGACTTCTTCGATTTAAATGTGTAAAACTTATGTACAAACGTTACCCAGACCTTTCAAACATCACATCGTTTCAAATAGAAAGCTGAAGCTTCATGTATATATATATATATATACACGTTCAGAAACTCTCATTCGTACTTTCCGTAGTCATATCACTTTCATTCTCGTCTAATACCACGTGTGTCCTAGATAAACCTGGTTTCCTTCTATATTGCATCCTTGTTTTTTTTTCAATTGACATTGTAATATAAAAACATTAGATAGACTTTGTTTTTTCTAATTCGATTATACTTTCAAATGATCAAATTTTTTTCATTATTTCTTTCTATTTTTTTTTTTTTTTAATTTTTTTTTCTTACATCTAACAAACAAATCAAGGACAATAATATGTAATACACATAATTACAACAATTATGTAAATGCTTTTTTTTTAAGCTAATAAAGTTGTTATAAACTTCTTCGTATTTACAAGATCATTTTACGATGTTACATTTAATTATAGTTTTTCTTAAGCTCAAATTTTTTTCTCAGTGAGAAAAATTATCAGTTAAGGTCATTTTAAGTTACGTTTAATATGTTAATGTATTTTCTAGCACAATATTTATTTCTACATTAAAATTAAAGTATTTGATTTTGCACAAAATAAAGATTAACGTATAACTTTGATTTTTAATTATTTGCATTACCGTGCATCGTATAAATCATTCAAATCGAAAAGAAAATGAAATTTATTCGACGAAAAGAAAGATTTAAAATTCATTCGTTTCCATTATACTAATCGTATATTTTTACGAAAATATCGCGTAAAGTTTAAACGATATGATAATTATTTTACAGAAATAACGATCGACATTATAGATATGGGCGGACAAGATGATTATAAGTGCACTTTAAGTGAGGAAACAAAAAAAATTGCTAAGGATGAACTTCGCGAGGATGATACAATTCGAGAACAATTGTTGGAACAATTTAGGGATTGGATTAAAAAAAATCCGTTAATAAAACATTGCAGAACGGATTCATTATTTCTTCTTAGATTTCTAAGAACAAAAAAGTTTAGTTTACCAATAGCACAAAAATTGCTGGAAAAATACCTTATCATAAGGCAAATTTATCCTCTATGGTTTCAAAATTATACAATCGATGAACCTATTATCAATGATATCATAGACACCGGCTATATCGTACCTTTATTGAAACGAGATAAATACGGTAGAAAAGTCTTGTTATATAACATAGGTAAATAATTTCAATTCTTTTCATTTTTCGTAATTCTCTTTCTGTATATAATATCTATATATAATATTAAATCAACTAACATTTATCTTTAAATACAAATTAACGATGAATTATGTCCGATAATTATGAAAATGGACTAATTGTAAATCAATAAATTAAAAAAAAATTAATTTACATTTTTTATGTTCTACTTATCGAAAATTTTCAAAAATTATTAGATTTACTTCTATTTTTCAAGTTACAATACAATAGTCAATGTAAAGAATGTTAATGATTAGTAAAAGAAGAGATTATAGACAAAAAAACGCAACATGTTATAGACAAAAATATAATTAAACAGAATAAAATTTCGATGTATCTATGCGTAACTTTAAAATTACATTAAACTATAAAGAAAAAAAAAAAAAAAAATATTACTCATTAGTTATTAGATATTTTTTATTAATTCTCGTTAGCTAATTATGTTAAGCATTATATTTAAATATTTTTAGTATTCAAAATAAAGTAAGAGATCTTATTGTGAATTATTTCAAATTATACTGATTATCTTAAAATCTCATAAAATAAAATAATCTTTTCAAAATAAATCCTTCGATCTTTCAAATAATGTATTATAACTTTATCTCGAGAATATTTTTTATAAAAATCATAAATAACAATAATAAATGTAATAAATTGCACAAATTATCCTAAATTTCTAAGCAAGATAAATAATATAATCTAATAATTTTATAATATAATAATAATCTAAAATTATCATTTACTTTATCGTTGATTCATTCCAATTCACCTCGGACATGGTATTTTTTGTTTTGTTTAAGAACGTTTCGACCCATATAAGTATACGAGTGAACATTTAATAAGGACCCATGCCCTCATCATGGAATCTCTTATGGACGATGAGGAAAATCAAATTCGTGGATATGTCTACATAATAAATGATACAGACATAACCATGGGTCATATTAGCATATTTTCTTTGGGTGATCTGCGTAGATTAATTTATTGTATACAAGATGGTCTGCCTTTAAGAAACAAGAGAACTTACATAGTCAATTTACCATCGTTCGGTCTCAAGCTTTTGGAGATTTGTATATCTTATCTTAACGAGAAGTTAAAAAAGCGTTTTACGGTAAGAAAAAGTGTTAATTGTTACGACTAATTTATATTAAAAAAATAATATAATATATATATATATATATATATTAACAAACATATTATATAATGAACATTATAAAAATAAGTTAATTCTTTTAAACTTTCATAAAACAATCATCTCACAAAGTTTTCTTTTATCATGAATTTATAATTAATCTGTAGAATATGTTTATAAATCTCTTAATATCTTTTTAGCATCATTCTGTAAATAACATATAATAAAACATATACATATGTATGTATGTATGTATGTATATATATATAAATAATAAATAATTTTTTATTTTTATTATTTCTTTAGTGTCATAAAAGTTTCGAGGAATTGAAAGATGAAATCGACTTAAAGTCCCTACCGAAGGAGTATGGAGGTGAAACTTCTCTTCAGGAAATGATTGGTACATATGTTCTTCTTTTTTTTCTTATTTCAATCCCATTTCTTACGAATAATGCATGGAATAATTGATTTTTTTCTATTTTGTTTATCTCCCGACAGATTCTCTTAAGAAAACTTTATATGAGAAGAAAGAGCAAATAGAGGCTTTGAACGATTTACGAATAGAACTTTCCGATACTCAGCATTATATTAACGAAATTGATGGTGTCACTGGTTCCTTCCGTAAGTTAGAAGTGGATTGAAACTTCCCTTATATTTTTATACGAATAATTTAGTTTATTTATATTTCTGCATACGAAACGTATGCGTTTACGATTAAATGTTTAATTCATTGTTATTAGTATTTGGTTAGTGTGTTTACGTTTTTATATTTTATATGTGAAGTTATATAAATATTATTTTTCTTTATTCTAATGTTATATTTTTTCTTGTTAATATAATTTTAAAAAATATTGCAAACATAAAATTATATTTTTACATGTTAATGTATTAAATTTTGTTAATGATTTACTTTTAATATACGGAGTGAGGCGCCTAAATATATCACCTAAAAATCTTTTTGCTTATAATCGTATTCAAAAACTTCAAAAGAAAAAGTTGTATTATTGCAGAGAGGAAATCTAATGGTTGAAAGAATTTTTTCTCAAGGTCATTTTCTTTACGAGATTTGAAGATCAACTTTGTTTTTTTTAAATGAAATTATATTTTGTTTGTGATATTCTTGTAGAACATGAAAACACATGATCTTCTCATGATCGATTATTCCGATTATTTATTCTCAAAAAATTTACATCTAAAGGTAATGTTTTGTAATAATGCAACTTTTACCTTGGAGGTCTATAAATACCATTTAAACAAAGAAAATATTTAGGCAATACAGAGTTAGGTGCCTCATCCTGTATATAAACGTAGTGTACCGAATAAAACTTGATTTTTATAATTTCTAATAGTAGGTATATTATTTAAAGTTAAAATAATAATTATAGTACATATACGTAACATACATACGTGTACCATTTAATCTTTATCACTATATGCGAATAATGGAGCTCCTCCGCCGGTGGTTCAAGTTACCTTCTTTTTTAATTATAATTATAAATATTTCTTAATATGTTTATACGAATGTGTTTTTAAGATTACATCTGAATATAATATATTGTAATGAATTTTTAAAAATAGATTTTAAGTTTTGTTAAGATACGTTGTAGTACCTAATTTGTTTGTAATTAGTTGAAATATAATTATATATTTATAGATCTATTTATTTAATAATTCAATTTTTCTTGTTTGTTCTAATGTTTGTGTTGATAACAATATAAACAAAATAGTTTAATTTGTAATTAAACATAATAAAATAAAACAAATATTTTATAAGGATCGCTTATTATGAAGACATAATACGTTTATAATAAACAAAAATTAAAAGTTCTTATATAGCCTGCATTGCTTCATAAAAATTCAATAGTTATGCTTCTTTTATAGATTAAAATATTATACATTATGTAGGTTGGCGAATTATGTACAATATAATAATTCTTATTAAACATTACAATATATAACTGCTTTTTTATCCATGTATTTTATAGAGAAACTAAGAAACAGAAGCAAGAGATATGAAATTGAAACATATATTTACTAAAGTTCTGCGTTTATGTTGCTCATAATTTCCTTCAAAAATTCTGTGCTTGCTGGAGCTGTTGTATATAAGCTACCTGAAATGAAATATATAGCATAAAATTGTTAATACTATATAAGACATTTATAATTTTTATATACATTATATCAAAATAAAAATATATAATTCTTACTATACGTATAAAAATAAATAATCTTACCTATAAAATGTGATACACTATTATCGAAAGTAATAATTTTGCAATTATTTTTATCTTCTATTTTAAAGCCCAGACATCTAAACCGTTCATCGGTTGTATAAAGAGTATTCTTTTTTAGAGAACTAAAATAAGGTTGTCCACTAAACGGGTTAATAAAGTCCGCCCAATATCCAACCATTTTTAGTCTTGTACAAACATCTGATGCGGCTAACACAAACTACAATGAAATATATTAACAAGAAATGATTACTTGCATTTTATTATTTTTAAAACTTGTAACATTCTATTTCATGGATGGGAAATAATTTCTTTCTGTTCCAAACTTAGCATATGTAAAACTCACTTTCGCATTTAATCAAATTTCATAGAAAATACAAATTTTTTATATGTACATAACAAATATTATACACTTTGTAAATAGGAACTAGCCTAAGAAAAAAAATAACAAAAAATTTCATCATATTTTGATACGTAGATCAAATTCTATTTGCCATTCATGTTCTAATTGATACAATAAATGAAATAGTTGAAAAAATATTATTACTTACATATTTTGCCAATTTCTCAGTTTCTGCTATTTTACCCCATCTTAATGTTTTTGGATTAGATTTTTGACTTAAAGTCACAATAGTTAACTGTGCTGCGCTCACATCCAAGCAACCAGGAAACAGTTCTTCAATGCCCTTCCTTAATAGAAGCGGGCATTCTTGGGCAGTACAATGTAGCAGTGGTCGTTTGATATATGATGATTTACCTTTTAATCTTTTATGTTTATTCTTGTTAGTTATAGAATTAACAGAATCAGTCTCAGTAATGGTGACAAATTCTGTTTTAACTTGTTTAGTAGTAGATGAATTTAACCAACCAGGACCAATACTACCTGGTAAGTAAAATCTGAATCCTCTTGGTGTCAACAATTCCCAGTTGTTACTAGTTTCAAATTCACCATTATCAGTACCTAAAAAAAATGTTCACTAATAATGCAATAACTATAATGGAATAATTACCACAAATAAGAATAAATTGAATATAACCATAATTATTATTCCAGTTTACCATCAATAGAATCTCCATTTGCATTGATAATTTTATATAGTGTTGTACTGTTGTCACTGCTACGTCGAGAATAGAAGGCTTGACAGGCAACATTAAAATATTTCTGATTATACCTTCTTACCATGAAATTTATACAAAACATCTGAAACCAATGACAAAGCTCATTTTTAACTTGATGTTTTCGCAAGGTCGACTATTTTTGTAGAATTTCGTCGTAATTTGTTCAATCTTTGGAGCACATATAAACACAAATAGCATCTAATATTTGTCAAAAGTAAAATTTAATTACCATTGAGAAGCACTTTACATGCTGGAGATAAAACTCGTTAAATAAAAACAATATGTGAACTGATTGTGAGAATTATCTGTCTTTACTTTCAGTCGAACTCAAACTTTCTGTATAGACTTACATATATATGTATAAATATTATATTCCCTTGTCAATGAACCGAACTTAGCAATCAGTAATGCCAAACATAGGTTAATTATTTTTAAATGTACTAGTTACCAATCCTGCTATTCTTACGTAGCAGAATGTGGCATTTCCTAGGGACATGAGAAAAGTTTCTAGAAACTCTCATAGGGATTTTGAGAAAGTCCGCAGTGGATGCTGTCAAATGTGGAAGATTGTCAAAAGTGTACAGTTGCCGTCTAATCTAACTAATAGTTTGACGTCAAACATCGTTTATAAATAATTCAATAACAAGGTGTATTTATGTATATGCATTTTTGCATCTTCAAGAAAAACAAAGGGAAGATAAACATTAGGATTATCTAACTAATGAAACTTTTCAAATGTGATATTGATAGTGATTATGTATAGCTCACTTTCAAGATTATTATGTTAATTAAATAAATTTTGTAATATTGTTTCTGAATTATAGCTATTTTTGTATTATACACGTTGTTACATGATTTTCATAAAAATATGATTATATGAATTTTTTTCTTATTTTATCATAATTGTAAAATAACCTATAAAGTTATACCTATATAGTATAACCTATAAAGTATACTCACATATTTGGAAACACCCTATATATTATAAAGATGTGGGATTAAATCTATTTTTAATGTATATGTTACTATGAAAGACAGACATTGGAGAATGTTAAGATTGTATAAGTAAGTATTGGTATATGTTGACATTTCACTATGTGAATCTTGACATTCTTCAATGTAAATCTTTCACAATAAACATATATATAAAAATAGTCCTTTAAAGAATAAGATAATCGTAATAGTAGGAGAGTAAAATTTAACTGACGCTTTATTTTTCGCTTATTATACATATTATCTTCTGTTTTACACGATTTTTTTTTTTTTTGAAATATTTATTTAATCCGCTATCGACAATATATACGCAAAAAGCCTAACAATAATATAATAACGGCAACGCAAAATATCGTATTTTTACGATGAAATTGTATTTTATTCCTTTCTCTTTTTTTTCTTTTTTCTCTCTCTCTTTTTTATTTATATTGCAAGGTGCGCTGCGCTTTTTAAACATTTGTTTGTATTTGGGAGAAGAAAAAAGTGATCTATGTTAATCTTGCCGACATTAATTCAGTGTAAAAAGAAATGTTTCATTGAATTCGGCGATTGATTAGACCTTATCTCACAGGATAACACCATGCGAATGTTTATCGCATTTTACAATTTTAAATTGAGCAAAAAGTTTCCTAAATACACATCTGTTCGTGGTTGCTGTAAAGTGATATACAAGAGATATTAATCGTTTATATCGTTTATTTCATTCGACGTATCACGATACTCGAAAATTAACGTACATTTTACGTTCACTTACTTTTACGATTATTTTATAAACCTAAACGAGAGACGACAAATGCGTCAGATCGTTTATTACTTTTGTTTTTATTTTAAAACGACGTTATTTCCCTTTTCCTTTATCATTATTGAATCTTCTCTTTTGAATTTCTTCTCCTTCATATTTTTCATTTTGTTCATCATCTTGTGAAAATTTGTCACGCTTTTATTTAAACAATTTATATCATATTTGTTCGATATTTTTGAAAGGACGATAATTCTTATCCTGTATGACGAAATATCTTGCGCAACGCAACCAAAACACATTTGTGATTATTATTATTATTATTATTATTATTATTATTATTATTATTATTATTATTAGTATTAGTATTATTATTATTCGATCGAATTTTCGATCTATCAGTTTTTTTTTATTTATTTATTCTTATTGTTTCTTTTTTTTTGTTTGCTCAAAAAATGGTTATATCACACTTAAGTAAGTAATTAAGTATTGCGCACTGTATCGTCGTAGCGTACAACTAGATTATATTTATATTTATATTGTTTATCTTCGTTTATACTCGAAATATTAGTACAAATATATTTATGGAAAGGGACGAGAAAAATCAATCGATTTGTGAATGATATACCACCCCCACCTTATTACGATATATAGATATTATAATAATAACATCGATTTTAAGAAATTGCCTAATCGCTAGGCTAT